TGTGACGACCAAATGGAAAGTCACCAGGCGAACGTTCTAGTTACAGCTAGAGAGATCTAGAAAGACATAAATAACCTCGTTGTTGGTGACTGGCAGAAGCAGGCTTAGAAATGTGGGTAAGAAGTGGCAGTGGCATTTCTGGTGTCGGAGGCAAAGACTCACTTTGGGTCACTGTGTTACCGAAGTACCTATTATATTTTGGTAAGTTTAAATTATTTTGGTTCGTTCCGTGGCTTAGTTGGTATAGCGTCTGGCACGGTAAGCTAAAAGACGTCGGTTCGAATCCGGCAGGATCGAAGGAATTTTTTCTGAGTGTTCGATCTTTGTATTAATAATTACTATATTATAGACTAGTGGAATAATTTCACAAAAAAATAATTGAATATCAATTCAATCAAAATTTTAAATACAGTGAATAGCGGCATCTGTCGCCAGGGCTGGTAACAGTAAAGATATCTAACTGGGTGATAAAACTATCATAGATTTCTCATAGACGGGGCGCTACGACTAAAAAGTCGTTGAAAAAACCAAATACAAAGATACGATGCAAACACATAGAAGAATTCCTGAGGTCCGCTGGTTCGTTCCGTGGCTTAGTTGGTATAGCGTCTGGCACGGTAAGCTAGAAGACGTCGGTTCGAATCCAGCCCGATCGAAGGAATTTTTTACGAGTGTTCGATCTTTGTATTAATAATTATAACAAAGTAGTGGAATAATTTCACAAAAAATAATTGAATATCAGTTTCATAAAAATTTGAAAAGTTTAAACTTAACAGCTAATGTATTTCTGATGAACGTACAATTTCAATAATATAATGTATAGCGTGACTCAGTTATTAAAAACTAGTCCCTAGCGAAATATATTGTAACGTACTAAATGAGCTTAATAGCTCATTCAGCAATAGGCCATTTGTTTTCAACAATGCGGTCTTAGTAGGCATTCATTAAAACGAACGTCGGTATGATAACCAAGTGACGGTACGAACAATACTTGCGCCTGGTAGCTTTTGGACCTTTGATCGCAAAGATCTGATGGGCATAGCCACTGCACCCGTCACCCTGAGACATAACTTGAAAAGTCCCATGTGCCTGAAATTTCACCAGCACCCTTATCCTTCAAAACCGAAAAGCGATAATGCTGTAAGCATTTTTTATTACCGCTTCACAATTATCGGGGACTTTTAGGCTCACGTGCATATGGAACCCTTTCCATATGCACCCGTTTCCTATGCACGCGCATATGGAAATTGATGCAAAAGTCATACGTTTTTATTATTTTCTACCCTGCAAAAAGAGACTATGTTTCCGCTAGTTAATATCAACCGGTTGTAACTCCACATGCTCCGCATTGTTCGAAAACTCGAGTTCAGTCAATATAAATTATGAAAAAAATGTTCATATGAGATCAAAAGACGATTGAAGCCATTATTTTTTCAAAAGAGACAAGTTAAAAAGTTCTGTAATTATACCCGCACCACTTCACTGGACGAACTCTTTGATAATAATGAACACTACTTCATTTTATATAATAACGAGTATAATTATTAGTCTATAATATTAAATTGGAGTGCTGTCTTCATTTACAGCGCCCTTGCAGGGTGTCACGTGTAAAACCAATTCTCATATGACAACCAAACATACATACCTTCCATATCTGGCAACGGAAGACTTTTTACTAATTCAGAACGCAATAGCACCGACACCCCATTTGCACAAAAATTTTTCTATTTTAGAGGTACCTAGTCGTTTATATAATTTGTTAAATAAGAAACTTAATATCGTACCCCTCACTAAACATGAAGCAAAAGAAGTAACCACAAAATTTTTGTTAAAACTTTCTTACGACGAAACTGAAGAGTTCCTCTTAATTAAAATTTAACGTATAGGACAGTGTACAAGCTCATTCATATTCGAGCACACACACGCACACGCGTCCCGCACACACTCACACACACACACACACACACATTCAACACATAGCTGTAGCTTAGTTGTTAAAGTTAAAAATAGTTAACGTTTCATTTTATATACTTTGTGTTTTCTCAACATTTTGTTAGAGTCTTGTTATCCGAGGTGAGACATCTGGTATATTACAAGCTTACGCTTACTTTAGTCCCCAGTCTCTTACAAACATAATGTAGAACAAAAAAAATAAATTTATGCTTCTATACTAATTTTGTGCACGTATAACAATTATGTTTGTGGAGAAATAAACGTATATATTATTATTATACCTATGTATATCATTCGTTTCGTCATTCAGTATTGTCCTGTCACTTTGAAATTAAATCGTATATGAATATCATACATATAACGTAATATTTGAGATAGTACAATTTTAGTTGTCATGTGCGAATTGTCGAGCAAATGAAGATATGAAAATATATAGTTGGTATGTAACACAATAGAGGTTTATTATTTTTCCCAGAAACATTTTTCTTTCGGAAAGTAAAGAAAAATTGGAAAAATATTCGCTAAATTCCTCAAAGCAAGTTGGAACAACTAACAAACTACCTAGTCACTAAAAGTGATATATTGTTTTATTTATTATGTAGTTTCGTATATTTTTATGTTTTGATGTTATTACACATTAATTCAAAATCGATGAAAATAAATTCACTTCCCAAAAAGAGTATTAAAATTTGTGCATAAAATAGAGTTTATTGACAGACATAGAAACAATTTCATACTTTTCATGTATATTTAAAAATAAAAGGGTAAAAATAATTTCATGTTTTTGAATAAGGATTTTTTAGTCCAGAATTAGCTCACATAGGGTTTGTCTCATTTTGAGTTAATAGATATATTTTAATTCACACGGTTTTATTGGCGTGTAGAGAATGAAATTGTACGTTCAGCAATGGTGTAATATTAAATTTCACTTATTTTTAGTTACAACACTTTTATACTGGCAGTTCGATACAATATAAACGAATTCATGACTTTGTGAAGACAACTTTCAAGCAAAGCTGGTTTAGTTTTATTCCTCGTATTAATGTTATATTTGTCACTGATTTTCATAAAAAAAACGCTATTCTTCTTTACATAAACTACATTTTCATAAATATACTGTGCCGCTAGTATAAGAATGTTAATTTTTTTTTTAATTTACCTCAAAAAATATTTTTTTCATATTCACTCCCGGCCACATAATTCGAGCCACCTTGTATTTTTTGTTTTTATAAAATATAATTGCGCATTTGGCCTCTATCTCACCTGAGGCAAAATGGCGATGAGGTCAACTATGAAGCATGTACACCTAAATAATGCCTATTCCCGTTCAGGGAATAATGCAGGCAAGGAATTCCACACCATGGTCGTTCGTCAAATAAATGTGGAAGCGTAACGCTTTGTACGTAACGTTTTGGTCTATAGCTGTTTCTACAGATGACTATAGTTGCTCAGTTAACAATAAACCACTAATCATATTACCCGAATTCGATTCCCGGTAGGGCGGGCATAAATCACAATTTAAATTGGTTCCGGTTAGTGCGGTTATGCTGTTACAGATCATTTTGTTTCGTTTATCATTATCAACATCATTACAACATCCCACTGCTGGGCATGTATATTCTCTAAGAAGGTTTAGGGGCATAGTCTGGACCGGTGCGGGTCGAGAACTTTTCACGTTTTTTGACGAGATATGGATTTTGCAATTTCGCATTCAAAAAGCCACAGGGTTTCGAAGCGTTGAGCACCGAGAAATGTTCTTCCACTGAGTTTTACCATCGGCTTTATTTATACAGAACAAAATATATTTTTTTTAAATTATTTGGGGAATACTTTTAATAATTTCATCATTTTTGTTAAAAAATAAATCTATAAACGCACCTTAAAACATTTTCAATTTATTAGGTTTATCTTTTCTTTTGTATAAATTCATTTTATAAGAAATTTTGAATAACGTATGAACGTAAATTTTCAATAATAAAATACCTATATTTATTAAAAATTGACAACAAACACTAATACAAATTTGCATAGAAAATATTGACACACAAACGTACCTTGTACAATTAAGCGCGAAAAGCTTCCAACTTCCAAGAATCCATAATCACAACACAGTACTCTTTTTAACTTATTTTCGTTACACCACACCACCACTAAATCTAAATTCACATTCCAACCAGTCACAATAAATGTAATTCTTGTAAACTAAACCATGATCACTGGTAAATAAAAAAAAACGTAAATTAAAACCCTTTTTATAACCAGAGTTCAAATGTTAAATCTCACGTTTTGTAAACAGTTAAATGCACTGAAATCCGTGTTTAGTGTTGTACGGTAGACGTCTGTCTTGCGTCAAAATTTTTACGATCGTAATTCCAAAATCCAATGGGCAACAACGGAGCGCACTTTACATACATCCTCACTCCGCGAGCGCCGCCGCGGGACTGCTGGGCGCGACGCCTGGCGGTCGGGTGCGTGTTAAAAAAAATCCACTGTTCTGAATTTGAATTTTGTACTCGATGATATTAAAAATGGCGGTTAAGTTGATTTTAATGCAAAAAAAATGGTTGGTCGAGATAGTTTTCGTCATTTACCAAACCTTGAAATTTATTTATATATTGAATCCATAGCATTTTTTACTCAGTGGCTCAACTGTTATTAGCACTGCGGCCGCAAGGTCAGATCTCGAGTTCGATTCCCAATAGGACTAATTTTGGGAAGATAATGTTGTTTAATTTTTTTTTTTGGTTGCTCTATACACAGTGTAATCGATAAGTGTGCCCAGGTGATTATTTCGTAAATATAATAGATATTAAAAACCTTTAAACAGATATCGAAAGCATGTTACCTATATACTAAGTTTTATGTAATCAATTAAATGTAAATAAACCTATTTCCTATCCGGTTAGTTATTTTAAAATTATAATGAGTTTTTTGAAAATGCTTCAAAATATATTATGATAATATTTTCAGAATATAGACAACATTCCGAACTACCTATTTAAAAATACTTTATAATATTTTACCCTGCCACTGCGACCGTCACTCTGAGACATAAGTTGACAAGTCCCATGTGCATGTAATTTCGCCAGCACCCTTACCCTTCAAAACCCTAACACAGTAATGCATCACTGCTTTGCGGCAGAAATAGATAAGGTGGCAGTACTTCCCTGGACGACCTCTTTCACAAGGAGCTCTACTGCTACAAAATTACTAAAATAAAATTACTTTTATTCAGTATTTTAATTTAGTTATTAAAAAAATATAAATTGTGACATAAATATAATATTGGTTTTTGTATAAAGTTCGTACTCACAAATCCAAGATGGTGTTTTTTTTTTGTATTGTGACGTCATCATCCGCAGTGTGCGATATGTATATCAAGTGACAGGATGAGCAAGTCGTGGGTCTAGAGGCAAGTGTTAATACCTTAAGTCTCAAAGATTTGAAGTGCACTGCGCGCTATGTTTATCAGGGGAGACACCAAACTTGAGCCAGATTTACTTTTGCCTGACGTGACGTGTCCTGACGCGTTAGAACGGTATTGGTTTCATATACACAGCAAAGCCTTGACGTCAGATTGCACACATTAGTATAAATCTAACGATCTATCTAATTTCGTTTTTTGTTTATTTATTTTTTTTTCCACAAAATTCGGGGAGTATAATATTAGTAAATAAATATACCTGTTTACAAAAATAACACAAAATGACAAAAAATTAAGTTGACATAGTGTTCATTGGAGGTGTCGAAATAATAAATAATAATGTTAAAAAATATTATATTTATATATTGTATATTTCTGTACTATTTTAAATAGGTTGTTCGGACAGTTTGCCTATAACCTGAATGCACATGGGACTTGTCCACTTATGTGTCAGGGTGTCGGGCGCAGTGGCGGTGCCCCTCCGATCTTTGTGATTTAAAGCTCTGAATAGTACTGTAACTGTTATGGACAGGCGTGTAGCTAACCGTGTAGTTTTGTTCCGTTTTTTGTCTTTTGTGGTGTCATTGTGGTAAACAAATAAAAGTATTTTCTTTCTTTCTTTTTCTTTCTTAACCATCAGGCGCACGACTTGTTCGTCCCGTCACTTGATGTTATAAAAAAAAACTTGGAAATCGCATTGTAAAATCCATACTTGGTTTTTTGAGATCCATATAACGGAACGGGCTACCCCGTACTATCATATTCTGACACTTAATTTTAGGGTAGAAGCCGTTACTATCCACAAACCGGTTAAGTTCTTTCTTACTGACTGCGTCGGTCACTTAGTATTATAAAAAAAATAAAACAAATCTTGTACTCCACAGAGTCTTTCTTATTACCGCACTTTTTACGATTATTTCTGCTCAAAACCAAAATAAACAGACATCCTTATTGAATGGACTTCAATAGCAGACATTAAGAACAATACCTATTTTTAGTATTTCCACAATATAAAAGTTATAATTGTGAAGTGAAACGTAATTTACATAAAACAATAGCACGGCCCTATTAAGTCCCATTACGACGCGAGCTCGTTTTGTCTATTTGTTTGTTTTATTTTACATTTGTTTTTACGTACAAATGGCTTTCGTACGCTTTTGTTCATTGCAAGTTACTTAATTTTAAACTTTAGTCACTTAGAGTTTAATTTGGGACCTCCTCAGGTATCGGGCTACATTTCTACATTTTTCACCTGCACTGCAGGGATCTTGTGACCACGTACGATGCATGAAACTGTGTCAAAATAGGGATACTTAATAAAAAGGGTCCGCAGTAAAAGAAATCGCTTTAGTAGCAGTAAAGATGCTTGTGAAAGAGTCCAGGGAAATATTGCAACCATATCTGTTTCTGTCGCCAAGCAGTGGTAATATTAGCATTACTGCGTTCCGGTTTTGAATGGTAGCGGTGATGGTGAAATTACAGACATATGGGACTTGTGAACTTCAATCTCAGCGGCGCGTGGCGTGTCGTTAAAACCGCTGCTGGGCAATTTTCAAATTTTAAGATAAATAGGAATTTAAATAGGTCTTCAGTTGAAAACCAAAATTTAGCAGATTCTATGTAGTAATTAAAACAGTAAATCTCTGTATAAAAATTATGTGAATTTGTACAAAAATATTTGATTAAATTTGACCAACTTCTACTCTCCCGGTTTTTATCGTACCTTACTATGAAAATAAAGAGGTGAAAGAACTGGCTATGAACCGTGAGGAGTGGAGAAGGCTACACCGACAAGAGTCTAGCTCGTAAATAAGATGCCAAGAAATGATCCTTACATGAAATTGAGTCGATCGGTGCTAAAAAAATTTGACCAATTTATTCCTTTTTATGGACAACTCACACTTGACCAAATAATTGACTATGCCATTATATTTTTATTCAATTAAAAGATAGATTTATGACTATATTTGTATCAGCTTTGTTATCTGTTAGCTTATTGTTACCTCTTACAGAAGGAAAACTAAAGCCTCTCTATGAATTTCATGTTAAATGTAAGCGTTTAATGTTAAAATTTTGGATAATTCTAGTTTTATTTAAAAAAAATATTGATGTCGATTTACTCATTAGGTAACGTATTTTCGATATCAGTTTAAAGCTTTTTGATATCTCTTATATTAATGGAATAATCGCCTGGGCACACTTAACGATTACACCCTGTATAATAAAATCGCAACGATTTATGTCGAGGGTGAAAAAATAATTTGGACATTATTTTAAGTTACATATTCTATCAAAGTACAATCAAGCGCACAGCAAATTTGATACTTTGGACCGTTCTTATTCCAAATGCTATAGAATTGCATTTAAATAATCAGTGTCTACTAACGTGCTCTGTACGCACGCATGTGATATCTTCAATGAAAAGGTGAAAAGGCTCAAACACCACTTTGAACGAAAATGAGTCGTACGAGTATATACCCTTCGATCGGGTTTGTTTTTCTGCACCAATCTGCCCAGGTTTCGTAGCGATCTCAGCACATTTTTGGCGCTTCGGTAATCCGATAATTCGCCACTTTCCCGTGGTGCTTTTTGTTTGTTATCCCTTTGTAATTCGCTGTGCTAGGTTCTCTATACGTCGCGTACACTTTTTGCATTTACGATATCTCTGCTTCATTTGAGGTCGCACAGATATGTACTTAGAGTTCAACAATTTGCACCCATGCAATATGACAACTTATATTAAAACTTCCGTAGATATCTCAATTCGTAAGATCTGTTGATTCGTTCCGTAGCTCAGTTGGGAGAGTTCTTAGTGATCAATTTTTGTATTACTAAATTGTGAAAAGTGACGGACGCAGTAGTATTGACCCTAAGATCTTTGCGATTTAAATCTCTGCAACTGTTATGGATAGGCATGTCGCTTACCACCAGGCGTTACGCCTTATTCGTCCCATCACTTGTATTATAAAGAAATTATAAACAAACTAGTGGAATACGATGTGATGGAAGACGCTGCTCCAAAACCATCCGGATCGAATGAATTTTCCTGTTTTCGATCTTTCATTAATAATGAACTAGAAATTCGTGTAGAAATTTGATAAAAAACATTTATATCCTGGTGGTAAAATATGGTAATATAAAATAAATATAAATATGATATATTCCATAAATTATTATAAAGATTCTAAAAACTAATTTAGGTCACAACTTTACATATTTATGTTTAAATAGGAGATTTATCAAATTTCACATTGTATATTGAAAGGCAAAGTGTGATAAGCGACACTTTTAGACGTATTGAGTTATATATATCATTGGAATCAGAAAAATTTGCTGATTTTGTAAATTTTTGGTTATATCTCTGTTTTTATTTTGTTCTTTTTTTCACAATATTCGTTTTTTTTATTTTTGTTACGACAAAACTTTTTCACAAAATTCAGACGACATAATATTAGTAAATAAAACAAGGCTGTTTACGTTAAGAACAGAAAATTACCAAAAATTAAGTAGGCGTAGTGTTCATTGGAGGTATATAATATAGTTTCTTATTTAGGTGTTTCTTATATAAGAAATTTATCGACATTATTAATATTTATTTCCTGGTATTTTCACACGGTGCGATTTAATATATTATGAATAATAACACCAACAGACTTGCAAAAACGTGCTTAAAGTTCAAAATATGTAGTCAATAATTGTGATAAACATAATAATTATTTATGATTATTAATTAGTGATGTAG